GAGTGAGACACCACGGATATACATACATAAAGATTTTCAAATCTCTCTCTCTCCCATTTGTCTCTTGTTCCTTTTCTTGCTATTTTCTTTCTACTTGCTCTCTCCCTCCCACTGTATATAGGCTATGTTGGGGATATTATTTTGGGCTCAAATAACCGTATAGGATAAAAATGACTATTTTAATTGAATATAATAAAATTTGATATTTAACCCATAATAATTTTATGTTTTCTCTTATGAAAATTAAAAAAAATCAAAAAAATTATTCAAAATGAAATTTTTTAATCTCAAACTAAAATAATCAAAAAAATTAAAAAATTAAAATGTCAACTCACATTTCAGGGAATAGATACACCAATACTTCATATTTGAAAATAATAATTTTTAAGAAAAACAATATTTATGAATAACAAATTATTATAAATGTGATTAATATCTCACTAGACACAATTTTAAAATCAAATTTAAAACAAAAATTTATGATAACTTTTTATTATTATATATATATGAGTTCGTCAAAGACAGAGATTGATATATACAATAATACAGGAGAGCGGGTAAACCACCACTCCCACCCCGATCCTACTGTTCAACTTTTTTATCTTTTTGTCAATGCGGCTCTTGTGGGGTTGCAGAATCACCTTTCGTCCTTCTGCATTTTTTTTCCTTCACTTTTTTGTAATTCACTTGGAGTGTCAGCATCAGTCTCTCTATAATAATTTTAAAATTATTATAAAGAGCATCACTATCAGATATTGATTTATCAGACTCGCTATACCTTTTATTTATTTTGTCAATGTTATAGTTTCTCTCCTGAAGCGAGCCACTATTTCTCGCTACAATAAGCGGATTAAGTGTTATCAGATATCCACCCGGAAATCCGACTGGTCTATCGATCAACAAAATTTTTTTTTTTTGACATTTTTTAGGAATTGTTTAGTTGACAGCTCATCAATTTAATAAAAAAAAGAAATAATAACAAATACAATAAGGTCTCGTTTGGGAACATATTTTTTTAGTAACTTTTTGACTATTTAGCTAAAATGTGATATAAAAAAAACTAGTATGTTTGGGATGACTTTTTACAAAAAGATATGCAAAAAATAGAGAGAAAATAAAATTTTTGACTTTTTGATATGGATTGTTGGCTTTTTGATTTTTTTGGACATTTTGGCTAAAAGAGGCACTTGCCAAACGAGGCCTGAGAAAATAATATTTTAATAAAATTAAGTTATTATATAGAGTTTGATACAATAAATACTAAAAAGGTGACTAAGGCCTGGTTTGGGGTGTATCAAAAAAGTTAAAAAGTTACAAAAAAAAGCAAAAAAGTTATCACTATTCACAAATTAAAAATATTAAAAAATTAATATACATAATATTTTAATTAAACAAAATTTACACAATTTTCGAGGCTGAATTGACCCTGTACTACCGTGAGAGGGGAAAAAAAAGGAATTACATATATAAAATCACTAAGTTTGACAAAAAATGTTGGGCCCGTGGGAGCCCACCACGGGTCCCGTTTTGATGATCCGAATCGTTCAATATGTAGAACTCGTCTAGAACTATATGCCTGAAAAAAATCACGTTGATTGGAAATCGGTAACTACATGATCAAATCAGTTTTATATAAAAAATATATAGTGTTATAGTTAACAGTTGACAAGAAAAACTAACACAATCATATAGCTATTGTTATCCAATCAACGTGATTTTTTACAAGCATATAGTACTTGACGAGTTCTACATATTGACAGTTCCGATTAGTAAAACGAGACCCATGGTGGGCCCCCAAAAACCGAACAACACCGTCCAATGTTTGCCAAAAAATGAGAGAATCAATCTCCTACACGATACCCTCTGTCGTGCTAACCCTTATGCTTCCGACCGTACGGGCTATTCCATCTATAATTTTCCCTATACACATATTTATACATTTTTTTAATACACATTTTTCCATAAACAGTCAAAAAATTAACCCAAATATCCATATTTTTTCCCTCAACATTTTAGGCCCAAAAAACAAAAAGTGCCCTTATTTAGGACACCCCAAACAACCCCTCTAAAATAGCAAAATAACTTTTTTATGCAAAAAATAGAGAGAAAATAAAATTTTTGACTTTTTGATATGGATTGTTGACTTTTTGATTTTTTTGGACATTTTGGCTAAAAGAGGCACTTGCCAAACGAGGCCTAATAAAATTAAGTTATTATATAGAGTTTGATACAATAAATACTAAAAAGGTGACTAAGGCCTGGTTTGGGGTGTATCAAAAAAGCTAAAAAGTTACAAAAAAAGCAAAAAAGTTATCACTATTTACAAATTAAAAATATTAAAAAATTAATATACATAATATTTTAATCAAACAAAATTTACACAATTTTCGAGGCTGAATTGACCCTGTACTACCGTGAGAGGGAAAAAAAAAAGGAATTACATATATAAAATCACTAAGTTTGACAAAAAATGTTGGGCCCGTGGGAGCCCACCACGGGTCCCGTTTTGATGATCCGAATCGCTCAATATGTAGAACTCGTCTAGAATTATATGCCTGAAAAAAATCACGTTGATTGGAAATCGGTAACTACATGATCAAATCAGTTTTATATAAAAAATGTATAGTGTTATAGTTAACAGTTGACAAGAAAAACTAACACAATCATATAGCTATTGTTATCCAATCAACGTGATTTTTTACAAGCATATAGTACTTGACGAGTTTTACATATTGACGGTTCCGATTAGTAAAACGAGACCCATGGTGGGCCCCCAAAAATCGAACAGCACCGTCCAATGTTTGCCAAAAAATGAGAGAATCAATCTCTTACACGATACCCTCTGTCGTGCTACCCCTTATGCTTCCGACCGTACGGGCTATTCCATCTATAATTTCCCCTATACACTTATTTATACATTTTTTTAATATACATTTTTCCATATAAAGTCAAAAAATTAATCCAAACATCCATATTTTTTCCCTCAACATTTTAGTCAAAAAAGACAAAAAGTGCACTTATTTAGGACACCCCAAACAACCCCTCTAAAATAGCAAAATAGCAAAATAGCTTTTTTAACTCTAATTTAACCAAGATCTCGGGTTCGAAACTGGAGAACGCAGCTGTGTTAAAAACTTCTTGGGAGAGCTTTATCACCCTTGTGGTCCTACCTGGCTCAAATCGGATTAGCCGGGCTCCTATGGACTTCCGGATACCGATGGTTTAGACCAAAAAAAAAAAACTAAGAATTTAAAAACATAATACCAAAAGAAAGGTACATAATTTAAATTTTATTTTATTATTATTTTTTTACCAAGGGGAGCTATATCTCTAATGAGTGAGTTTTACATGTACAACTATAAAAATAGTAAGTTTTTTTTGTTTCTCCTAATGAGTGCAATTTTTACATGTTGAGGGGCTATGATCATGGTAGCATCTCTCTCTCTCTCTTTATTTTTTATCCGATTGATTTTAATAATAAGGTCCATCTTAATTAAATTTGTATTTAAGAGATAATGTGACATTGTCATGTTATACCCTATTAATATATAATAATTTTCCAACAAATTAAAAATGTAAACTACTAGGCTGAAGATAATATAAAATTCTTATCATAAGAATACTGATTAATAACTTATACAACTGCACTTTATAGTGAGGTTTATCTCTAGTCCATTGTGGATTGGAGGGTATTATTAGGGTCTCATTTCGATAATTTAAACCATTCATCTTGTGGTGTCTTATATATCGATCATTCACTTCAAAAAATTGAATTGATCCAATAATTATAGATATGTAATTTTATTGTATTTGTCTTACAAAAATTAACAATAACTATAATTTTAAAAATAGACCAATTTTTTTTTAAAGAAAACTTGATTTGCCTATAAATATATGAGAGCTTCCTAAGGGGACACATGATTCCGGCCTTGTCTTTGTTTTTCATGGGGAAAATTACTATGTAGTCTTATGTAGGGGATCTATTTCCCTTCTAATCCCAATATATTTTGAATGGATTAATAGGTCCACAATTTTTTAAATTTTATACCTAGAGGTCCCATTTTTTATTTTCGTATTTTGTAAATGACTGTATTACCCTTTGTTTTGAAATTTATATACACGTGAAAAATCAAATTTTTACTCCGTTCAAAAAAGAAAATCAAATCTTTGTCTCTGCGATCTCGATTTCTCTTTGTTATGGTGATCTCATTGTGCTGTGTGGTCGATCTCATTGTGCTATGAGGTAGAACTGGTTGTGCGATCTGAATCTCTGTGTACAGGTGATCTCTGCGTATGTTCTCACTCTCTCTCTCTCTCTCTTTGTGTATCTGGTTTGTATCTGTCGATACATATATCTATGTGTATGTATGTATCTGTCGATACATACATATACATATATATATATATATCTTTGTGTGTGTATGTATATATGTATGTATATATAGATAAGCAAATTTGCGTGATATCTGGTTTGTGTTTGGCAATGTTGTTTTAGTTCTTTGTTTTCTGATAAATTTTGTTTATTTGATATTTATTTTATTTGATTTTTGTATGTGATATAGTGTAATGATTTTGATTTTGTTGATTTTGTTTGTTGTATAGTGTAATGTCTTTTGAAGTTGTAGTTTGGAATTGTGAATTCTGGTGTTTTGATACTGACATGTTGTAAGTGTATAATTTTGCAGTTTAGAATTGTGAATTGTGCAGTGTTGGTACTGATATGTTGTAGCTGTATAATTTTGCAGTTTGGAATCTGTGAACAATTATTTGTTGGTTTGTGATTTTGTAATATGGAGGGGTGTTTCATGTTAATGTGCAAATATAATAATTGTTGTACTGCTATTAAGATTAGTGAGAGATGTAGTTATGATGAAGTTGTTGAGAAAATATGTGCGAAGTTCAAGGAGTTAAGTGTTGGTAACTTTTGTTTGTTTTTCTCTATTGCTGGATATTCTAATTGTATTGTTGAATGTGATGATAATTTGTGGAATATGCTGTCAATGGTAGGTGGTAGTGGTTGTCACGTTGTTGATGTTATTGTGGGGGATAAGAGAGTTGTGGAGGTTGATGATGGTAATTCTTGTAGGATTGATTCTGTAACTTGTGAGAGTTCTTTTGTGAATGATTGTGATGATGTTGGTGGTTTGTTGCGTAGTTTTTATCCAGAACCAGAGAGAATTTTGTTGTCTGCTAGTTGGAAGGGGATTATACATAGTGTTGGTCAAGAATTTGAAGGTGGAGTGCCGGCGTTCCGCATTGCATTGGCTAAGTATGCAGTTGAGTGTGGTTTTGTAGTGAATTATTTGAAGAACGAAGCAATAAGAGTAACTGCTGAATGTATGATGAAGTCGTCTACGGGTTGTAAATGGTTTGTGCATGGAAGGGTGTTGATGAATTTCGGTATTTTTTTTATAATGAAGTTGGATAATGTGCATACTTGTGGGGTTGTTGTTCGTAGATCTTGTAGCAAAATGGTTGGTTCTAGACTTGTGTCTGATATTGTGCAAAATGATATTAGTGATAATCCGTTGACTCGCCTTATTGAAGTTAAAAAAAAGTTGAAGAAGCAATATGGTATAGATGTTTCTTATCGGTTTGTATGGTTAGGAGTTGATAAGGCAAGATGTGGGTTGTTTGGTGATTTTGCAACATCTTTTGACCAACTTCGATGGTACCTTGAGACGACTATGAGAACGAATCCGGGAAGTGTGTTTAAATTAGATGTGGATGAAAGTAGTGGGTGTTTTCGAAGGTTGTTTATGTCATTTCATGGATGTTTGTATGGCTTTCAATTTTGTCGTCCATTGTTGTTTGTTGATGGTACATTCTTGAAGGGGCGTTACAAGGGGCATTTGCTTGCAGCAACATCAAAGGATGGTAATCAAGGTATGTATTTATTTGCAGTTAGTATAGGTTTGGTTTGTCAGTGTGTTATTGTATTGTGCGTCTGCTAATTTTTGCAGTTTCATGTTATTTTGTTTGCAGGTCTGTTTCCTTCGGCTTTTACGATTGTTGACGTTGAAAATCAAGATAATTGGATGTGGTTCTTAAGTCAGTTGTTAAAGGGTGTTGGTTCAGGCCGGAGATTGACCTTTGTGTCAGACCGTCAACATGGATTGTTAGACGCTCTTTCAGTGGTTTTTTCCAACGCACATCATGCATATTGCTTAAATCATTTGAAGAGAAATTTGATTGACAAATTGATGGGACTTCGAACTAACTATAAGCTGAGTTTGATGAAAATATTAGTTAAATGTGCTTATGCGCCAACAGTTGCTTCTTTCCAACATTATATGAAGAAATTGAGGCATATTGCTGGGAATGGTAGAGTTGATAGTGTGTTGGATGGTTTGCAAAATGATAAGTGGGCGAATGCATTTTTTAGAGGGAAACAATATGGTGAGATGTCATCTAATGCTGCCAAGTCTTACAATAATTGGATTGGTGGGGCCCGTGAGTTGCCTATTACTTGTATAGTTGATATGATTAGAGTTCAAATCATGATTCAATTGTCGAATAGAAGAGCTGAATCTAAAAGATGGACTACGAAATTGTGTTCAGTTATGGAAAAGAAGTTGGTGGACTCTTTGGAGCTAGCTAAGTCTTGGGATGTGATTGTTGCTAGTGATACTGTGCTTGAGGTTCATTCTTCTATTTCTTTTTATGTTGATACTGGTAGACAAACTTGTTCTTGCCATGAATGGCAATTGAATGGTTTTTCTTGTTGTCATGTTGTGTATGCTTTGCGTAGTAGTAGTAAAGATGTGTATGATTTCATTGATCATTTTTTTCATGTAGATTGTTTTAGAGAGTCATACAAGGAATCTGTTTATCTAGTGCCTTCAAGTGAGAGATTTGACTTTAATGGCGCTAGTAGTTCGATTATCAAACCTCCTATAACGAAGAAGCAACCCAGGCGAAACAAGAAGAAGATGATACCTTCTAGGGGTGAGAATGTGAAGCAAATCAAGTGTGGGAGGTGCTTGAAATATGGGAATCACAATAAGAAGCCGTGCAAGACTGCTATTTGAGGCCATAGTCTATTCTTTTGGATTTGTATTTGAATTTGAGGAATTATGATAACAAAAAATGTGATACTTGGTATTATGGGAGTAATGAATATAGTTGGTTGAATTGTTTTTTTTTTTTATGTGTTCTTTAGTTATTGAAGTTGTTTTGTAACAGTTTTGTTTTATTTTTTATTGTTATTTTTTTTTGTGGGTTTGGTTGGTTTTATTTTTATGGAATGCAGAGAAGGTTGTTGAAAATTTCTTATTGAAACTGTATAATATTGAAATGCATTTTTACTACATGATTCATTTATTTCATATTTTATAGCGAGAAAATTGTAAAATTTTGCAGTTTTATTTTCAATTTTGAAATGTAGTTTATCTATTTGTTGAGTCATGAAAATGTATGCATAATTATGTAGCATAAATTTTGTTTTAGTAATGAAACTATATAATTTTGCAGTTTTAAGAATTATAAGAAACAACCTGATGAAACTGCATAATTTTACAGTTTTAAGAATTATTAAAAACAACCTGATGAAACTACACAGTTTTGCAGTTTGAAGAATTATTAGAAACAACCTTTACCGTATGAAAATATATGCAACCACAAATAAGTACACAAACAATTAGAAGTACAAGCACAATAATAATAACAAGAAGAAGAGCAACAACAACATCAATGACAACAATCATTTTCACCATAATAACCAGAAGAAGATCATTCCCAAAAATATATAAAGTACTTGTCACATGTTTTAAAAAAAAAGTACAAAGATATGTTCACTTGAATATTTGTATTGTCAAGAAATTTGTTCATTGTTTCTATGGTTTGGTATGTTTTGTCAACATTTGGTAGTGCTCGAGTTTCCAAGATCAGATTTCATTATTGAGGAATTGACTGACGATTTCTGCTCGAAATTTGACCCACTCAGTTGATCGAAGTGATTTCTGCACAGGTTGCCAGTTGATATGTTGGTTGATAATATTGCAGACGGCGACTGCACAATCATTCCTGCAAAGTTTTAGATGAAGTTAATTAGTTAGGTAAAACTGCAAAATTTAGCATATTGAAAGATTAGTTTATTGATTTTATATCTTACGAGTGTGGGGTTTGTTGTGGGCATTCCTCAATTGACGCAATTACTGTCTCGCACTCTTGAGATGATAACATGTTTCATTGATTGCTGAGTAATGCTTTATTCCATTTCAGTTGATGTTATTACTACAAAATAGTTAGTGGGTGTTTTTGTTAGTTATAGTGATGAGTTGAGATGTTTTTAAAGGAATGAAACTAAGTAGGAAATTTTATTTAACTTATAATTTCCTTTGCAATTTCAAAGTACTTGTTGTGGCAATCTTTTGCTAGTCTCAAAGAGTCATAGTGTCTTGATATCCCATCAGCATTGTCAAAGACCACACCAATGGTTGTCGTGGTTGATTGGGAAATGGATATATCTATTTTTCGTTGCTTCTGGAAAATGGTTGTCCATCATTTTTTCTCTCAGTGCTTGATCTTGGCTTTGTAGTGGAGTCTGTAAGTTATATATATGTTTGAAATATGTTATAAAACTATGTAGTAAGACACGTTAAGAAAGTAGAAAATTTTGCAGTTGAAAGGTATGTTAAGTTTTGCTTACATTGATGAGTGTTGAGAAAACATAAGATCTTCCTGCGTATAGATTTCTTGCAAGGGCTAGATCATTTTTCTCAAATTCTTCAATGGTTGGTTGGAGTGCCAATAGCTTTTCTGAGAAGGCATCAATGACCTAAAACATGTTATATATAAGAATGTGTTAAGTTTGTGGAATAGGTTATTGAATATGAACAGAAACTATAAAATTGTGCAGTTGGAGACCTATATTCCCATATAAGGGTTTCCTGTTGGTCAATCTGCATATATCTGAAAAGTATACACAATTTTCATCTTCGCTGTCAGACCAGACACAAGCACTTGATTGTGTGTTGTTGATGAGTTGAATTTGGTCTTGGTCTTTTTTGGATAGGCTATGCCAAACCTTCTTTGTTTTGCGGCAAGAAATGACGAGTGGCTTGTTTTGGATTGATTCTTCCTTGAAATCATCATCACTTTCCAATACTTGAAGTTGTGTCTTCTCTTGATTAGCATGCTCTTTTGGGTTAGTTTCAGCAGCAACTGCTTTTTCTTGGCCAATATCTTCTTGCATCTTTTCTTTCTGCTGTTGTTTTGCTTCATGAGCACCCTCTTTTTGCTCAGGTTCAGTAGCAGGTTCTGTCTCTGTTTCAATTTCTTCTTTTTTCTTTTCATTCTTCTTCTCTTTTTCTTCATCGGTACCCTCTGTTGGTTTGGGTACATCAACAGCAATTTGTGTCTTGTTCCTTGTATCTTCTTTGACTTTTGTCATTGGTTGGTATTCAAAATTTGGGTCATGTGCTTGTTTTCTTGACTTTTGTTTGATTCTCTTGACCATTGATCTTTGTTGGGGACTGCCAGTTTTTTTTGTGGACATTTCCTTCAATTGATTTTCTTTTTTACACAATTCAGCCATGAATTTTTGTTCCATATCTTGCATAATTGCATTTGTGCTCTCATGGCTGATATGAGCTTGTCCTTGTTGTTCTCTTTGGTTGGTGTTTGTGGTTGGTCATGACCTATAAAAATGTTGGATTGTGTTTTTAGTTTAATTAAATTTTGCAATTTGCTTTAGTATCAGACAATAGTTTACCTTGTGCATGAAATATGTCAAATTTCTCTTGGAGTTCTTTTTGTTAGTTTGTCAGTTCTTGTTCATTGACTTCTTGTTGTTGGTCTTCTTCTTTATCAGTGTCTTCTGGTTGATCACCTTTTGCTTCTTGTCTTTCTTCTGCTTCATCATTGTCTTGTTGTTCATTAGGTTCTTCTTCTTCTTTTTCTCCTTCTTCAGTTTCTTCTTTTTCTTCTTCTTCTTCTTCTTCTTCTTCATCAGTCACTTGTTTTTTTTCTCCATCACTTCTTCTTCTTGTTCATCACTTTCCGGTTCTTCTTGTGATTTTTGCTTTCTTTTTTTTTTTTTTTTTTTGTTCTTCTTGTTCTGATTCTGATTCTGATTCTGATTCTGATTCTGATTCTGATTGATGTTCTTCTTCAAGAAAGTCATCCTCATCACTATCTAGAAGTCTTTTTTTTGTTGCTTTTGTTTTCTTTTTTCGCTTATTGTCCTTTTTATGTCATGTTTCTTTGCTGAAGAGTCTGTTGATGTGCTTTGATTGATATGCAATAACTATATTTCTTGTTCAGTTGGGGTTAAAGCATTTTGGTTAACCTGCATTGGAACAATGTGGCATATATCAGTAATACTGTAAAATTGGTCAGTTTCATAAGATGAGTTGTACTGTGAGTAATGCGGGTTAAGTGTCGAAATAAGTTGCTTGAAACTGAAAATTTTTACAGTTTCATAATATGAGTGATATGAAATAGATTTGTGCGTTTAAACTGTAAACTTTTACAGTTTCATAACATGAGTGATGTTAAATAAGTGTGTGCTTTGAAACTACAAACTTTTACTATTTCATAATATGATTTGTACTGTGAATAATGTGAGTTAAGTGTTGAACATATGTTGTTTGAAACTGAAGAATTTGACAGTTTCATAACATGATTTTTACTATAATGACTGTGAAATGAGTGTTGAATAGATTTGTGCTATGATAATATAAAAGAGTTTGAATACCTTTTTCAAAGTGAGCAAGGCTGATGTGTTTCCACTTGGAGTACATTTTGCCAAGGTTCCATTTCATAAACTTTGGGAAGCCTTCTTTGTTGGATGGTCGGAGAGTTTACTGTGCTCACAGTACCAGTACTGTAAAAAAAATTGAAATATGTTAGATAGTTAGAAATAAGTGGATGTCTGATATTTTTGTGTGAACTAGTTGAGTAATGTGTTTACCAAGAGTAACATGACGTATCTAGTGACATGCCTTGGGTTGTTGTTTGCATTTGCCATTGAATTCATTAGTGTGTCTTTTATTGCCTCAACCCAATTGTACTTCTTGCTGTTGTTGAGATTGTCAACATAGTTGAGGAAACTCCAACTGAGTGTATGACCTGTTGTAGGCATGAGAAGTTTCAAGCACAAGTAAAGGGGTAATGACCCTTGCAAGATCTTGACGATCATTGGTTGATTTTTCTTTTTTTGTTTGTTGAAATATTTTGGTCAAAGACTTACCATCCAATCTCTTTACTGATTTGCATCTTCGTTTGTAAAATAGAAGCTCAAAATCCTTTGGTCTTGCATAGGATTTAATAGTGATGTTGTGTTCTCCACAGTCGATACCAAAAATGAGCTTGACATCACTATTTCTGAGTTTCGTTTCCTTTTTGCCAAGTATAGATGTTCTTTTTCTTTTGTTGTACAGTGTTGTCATTTCTGCTACAATGGAATCGTAGCATCTGCACCAAGAGACCTTCAGTTGTGTTGAGGAGAGAGCATTTATAATGGGCCAAAAATGAGTTTTTTCCAGCTCTATCTGTTGGGCTTTTGTGAATTTGACCATCTTTAACAGTTTGATTACTGTTCCAATGTTGGAACGGTAATTAAATTATTGGACTCTCTTTGTAGGGACTGCTGCTTTTTTTCCTTTTGATGCCTTGGTTTTTGTTATGGGAGTTGATTGGCTTTCTTGGAGCTTTCTTTTTTTGGTTGGAGGAGCTTCTTGTTTTTTTGTTGGCTTTCTTTTGTTTGTTTTTGTTGTGGTTGGAGGTGTTGCTGGTGTTTGTTGTATGGGTGGGGTATGTGGTGTAGTTCTTAGTCTTTTTCTTGTAGGTAGTGTGGTTGTTTTGTGGGTTTTTGGTGGGGTCTGTGGTGTTTGGTTGTGGTGGTTGGGTTTTTTGTGGAGGAGGAGATATTGGTGGAATTTCAATGGATATTGGAGACGGACTTTCAAAATGGGAGATACTTAAATCCCTGATTGGATTTTTGGGCATATGGGTTTGTTTCTTCCAATATCTTCCAACAGATATTTCTGAAAAAATGAAGCGACAGCAGGGTATGAGTAATATAGTG